TTTACATTTGTTACTTACCTCAAACCGGTCAAATATCTATCCCGCGATGCTCTTGCCTCTTGACTCGGCCTCCAAATTCTCCGATTCTATTCACAATTAGTACAATACCATCAATATACGATAATGGAATGAATTCCACAAGAAAAACTACCAATTTAGACCAAAACCCGAAATTGGCTCAAACCCGGCTCCCGGGCCCACGACTCGGAATCAGGTAAAAGTCACAAATTACGAACGCCCATTCACTCACGAGTCCAACCATACTAGTTTCACTCAAATCCGATTTCGAATCGACATTCAAATCCCAAAAATTCATTTTATGAAGTTTCTACAATTTCCCCCAAATTTCCACCTCAAAGTACTAATTAGATGATGAAATCATTGATATATTCATGTATATTAACTAAATTCTAATTAGAATCACTTACCCCGATGAATTTCTTGAAACACCCACGAAAACTTGCCACAAACCGAGCTCCCTAGGTCCAAAATGTGAAATAATTCCCTAAACCCCATTTATATAGTACACCCTCTGAACTCCCACTAATGCGGTCCGCGAAATTCCAAGCGCGGCTGCGCCTCCCAGGTCCTGCGGTCGCAAAAAACTGGTGCGGCCACGCGTTTTGGTGGCTGCACTGCCAGGATTTAGTATTTTGGCCATAACTTTCTCTACAGATGTCCAAATAATGACTTCTTTACCTTTCTGGAAACTAGGCATGAAGGCTACAACTTTTGTTTTTTAATCATCTCAAAATTCCTTGTAGATCAAAAGATATAGGCTTCCGAAGTTGGACCAGCGGATCTGCAAAACTTTTCCCCGGAGTGCGGCCGCGGCAGAATTATGCGGTCCGCGAAATTCTACTGAGGTCCGCAAAATTCAAAGCACCAGAACCATACCTGAGTTCCAGAAATGCCCGAACTCGCTCAAAACTCACCCCAAAACATACCCAAGGCCTCCGGAACCTCAACCAAAGGTACCATCAAGTCCTAAAATACCATACAAACTCACTCGAGCTCTTGAATCACATCAAACAATAACAAAAACATGAATCGCATACCAATTCAAGCTAAATGGACTTGAAACCTCAAACTTCCACAATCGATACCGAAATCTATCAAACCTCATCCGAATAACCTCATATTTTTCACACACGTCACAAATGACACTACGAATCTAATCCAACTCCCGGAATTCCATTCCGACTCTGATGTCATATTTTCCACTGCCGACCAGAAATCACCAAATTTCCAATTTCGCCAATTCAAGCCTAATTCTACCACGGACCTTCAAATTACATTTCGGATACGTTTCTAAGTCCAAAATCACCTAACGGAGCTATCCGAACCAAAAAAATCCCAAGCCGAGATCGTTTACTTATAAGTCAACATCCAATTGACTTTTTCAACTTAACTTTCTTAGTGAGAGACTGAGTGTCTCATTCTACTCCAAAACTACTCCTGACCCGAACCTACTAACCCGATACAACACAACACAGCTGAACAACATATAAAGAAGCAGAAATGGGAGAAACAGGGCTATAACTCTCGGAACGACCGGCCGGGTCTTTACAAATTGCCTAATATCTCACTGTCCCAAAGTAGTGGGAGTAATATTGAGCAATCTCAGATTGTTGAGCAACCTGAAATTATTGTGCAACCTACACTTTAGGAAGAATTTAATGATATCCCAATACCGCAAGGTGTGGAGGATAACATTGAGGCTTCAGTTCCAGAAAATGATGCTGTGATTCAACAACAAAATCCAACTGCACCTGTAGTGACTAGTCGTAGTGAGCGAATTATTAAAAAACCTCCCCGGTTTGAGCTCTTGGGAGAATCTTATGATAGAATCCCTAAAGAGACTAATACAGAACCTCTTAATTATGATGAAGCACTACAGGATACAGACACTGATAAATGGATTTTTGCTATGAAATCTGAAATGGAGTCCATGTACTCCAATCATGTCTAGGATCTTATAAAAATCACTTACTGGAGTCAAACCCATTAGTTGTAGATGGATCTATAAGAAAAAGAGAGGAGTGGATGAAAAAGTGCAAACTTTTAAAGCTAGGCTTGTTGCAAAAGGATTTACTTAAAAGAAGGGATCGATTGTGAGGAAACTTTTTCGCCAGTAGCCATGCTTAAATCCATTGAGATTCTCTTATCCATTGCTTCTCATTACGATTATGAGATTTGGAAAATGGATATCAAGACGGCTTTTCTTAATGTAAGTCTTGATGAGTGCATCTATATGGCACAACTAGTTGGTTTCATAAAGAGTGGCAATGAGCACATGTTGTGTAAATTAAAGAAATCCATTTATGGATTGAAACAAGCTTCTAGAGCGTGGAATATTTGTTTTGACACATCGATTAAAACCTTCGGTTTTGATCAATGTGAAAACGAGTCTTGTGTCTATAAGAAGTGGGATGGAGATAAAGTTACATTTTTTGGTTTTGTACGTAGATGATATTTTGCTCATAGAAAATAATGTGAGTATGTTGAATTCAGTAAAGGAATGGCTGTCCTCGAGTTTTGATATGAAAGACTTGGAACAAGCGACACATATCCTTGGGATCAATCTTATGCGAGATCGCAAGCAAAGGATATTAGGCTTATCCCAAGCACTTTATATTGATACAATTCTCACCAGGTTTAACATGCAAGATTCCAAGAAAGGTTTTCTCTCTTTTAGGCATGAAATCTCTCTGTCAAAAGATCAGTCCCCAAAAATGACTGATGAGATAGAAAAGATGAAGGAAGTCCCTTATGCTTCTGCTGTAAGGAGTCTCATGTATGCTATGCTATGTACTAGACATGATATCTACTTTGTTGTTGGTATGGTTAGTAAATTTCAGTCTAATGCTGGACGAGAACACTAGATTACCGTTAAACATATAATCAAGTACCTGAAAAGGACTAGGGATTATATGTTGGTTTATCACACATATGATCTTGTACCCATTAGCTATACTGATTCAGATTTTCAGTTAGATAGAGATTCTAAAAAATCTACCCCAAGATATGTTTTTACCTTAGGAGGTGGAGCCATAAGTTAGAGGAGTATCAAGCAATCATGTGTTGCTGATTCCACCATGGAAGCCGAATATGTGGCTGCATCTGAGCAACTAAAGAGGCTGTTTGGCTCGGGAACTTTCTAAAAGAGTTTAATATAGTTCCTTCGGCTCAAGCACCAATTGTACTTTATTGTGACAATAGTGGTGCAGTTACAAACTCGAAGGAATCAAGAAGCCATAAAAAAGTAAGCATATTGAGCGTAAATATCATTTAATTCAGGACATAATTTAGAGGGGTGATGCAAGAGTGTTGAAGATTGCGTCAGAGGACAATTTGGCAAGCCCGTTTACCAAGAGCTTGCCATAGAAGATTTTTGACAAGCATGTAAAAGGAATGGGTATTAGAGTTGTAAATGCATGGTTATGAGTCTAAGTGAGAGATTGTTAGGATATACTATTAACCATACGGTTTAGACATAGTATTGTGTTTTATTCTTTATGGAACAATTGTTTATTTGATTTATTCAATTCAATAAAATACTATTTTAAATAGATCATCTGTTACATGTATATCCTTTAGTTATATAGTAGACAATTTAGTGTATGGAGTCTTAGCTCATGCACATAAGATTAAATTGTCGGTTCTCATAATTAATAAACTATGTTCACAATCGAAGATATTATTGGGCAAAATATCTTGATGATTGTAGCAAAAGATTAAAGTATAAATTTTCTTGATTATGAGAGTGGTTTTACTTCGACTTCTTGTGCTAGTATACTTAGTGTATATTGAACGGACCAAGTAGAGAAAAGATGTTTTTGTACTGAATATATATAAAATATTTTCTCTAATTCATTAAATGAGCTTATACTCCTAATCTTGATATTATTATGATTAATGTGATTTATTTATTATTTTAATTTATCAAAAGGTACAACTCTATTTAGAGTTAGTGTATGCCTAATAGATTGGACAATAACGAATAACATTTGTGAAATAATAATTATTTGATAGAATCCATGACTCGGTTTTGAGTTTGATGATACCCCTTTATGTAAGCTTGTAAGTTTTTATGTGAAAACCTGGTCAGTGAATTTTGTATCCGTCACATGAAATAGTTTAAGCGGAATTATAAAGGATTTAATTAGTTGAATAAATTAAATTGTCAGTGATTTAATTTAATTAACTGATATTTGTGATCTTAACATGGGGAGTTAAAATAAGTGTTAGTGAATTTTTGAAATTCATATTGAGGAATTCAATTGCAGTTTTTAGTGGAATAAACTTCAATTAATTATAGTAAGAATTAATTCTTCCAAAATTTCAAATTAATGCTATAATTGGTAGTCTCTTATTGTTTATGTGGTCCTTGCTATACCTAGTGAAAACTTGGACTCACTTGGATAAAAAGTGACTTGGGAGAAAAGTAATCCTTGAGAGTTAGAGTAGGATTCTACTTGCACAAGCAGAATCCTGCATGTGTTTGAAGCCCTCTTTTGGCTGAAAAACGGGTCTACATAAGGAAGACGTTTTTCACCCAATATTTTACTTTAAGAGTTGTATTGTTTTTGCCCACTCAAAACAATTTCTTCCAAGGTCTTACTAGGAGCATAGCAGAAGACTGCAACGTTGGATTCTTACTCTGTGGAGGACCTGTGCAACGTTTTCAAGAGTTTAGTACTTCTAATCCCGTAATTATATCATTGTCTAGTTTACATGTATGTGATGCATGCCTGAGATGTATGCTTGCTTCCACTGCACATGTTATAACAATTCGGAACAGAAATGAATAAATAAAGGAAAATTAAGTAAATGGTGGAGTAGCTAGTAGACAAAAAAAGTTGGTTAGCAGTAAACAGGTAGCAGCTCTATATATAATTAGTGAAGGGGTTTTTCTTTGGTCATGCATGCAATAAACTCGTGTGTTCCGTTTCAGTTTTTCAGCTGACTTTTCTTACTTCTCTTTCTATAAACTCACACCATTTATTCTATATCTCTGATTATTCTCTGTTGTTCTTCCAAAAGCTAACACTTTTGGTTATGGAGAGATCAGTAATACAATTAATTTTCTTTGCCTCTCTTTTGGTAATGAGTAGTACTTCTTTGGCTGTGGGATTCAATGTTCCTGCAATTTTCATATTTGGAGATTCCATATTTGATGCCGGTAACAATCACTACAACAACAACTGCTCAGCGCAAGCTGATTTTCCACCTTATGGTTCCAATTTCTTTCACCATCCAACTGGTAGATTTACTAATGGCCGCACTGTTGCCGACTTCATTTGTAAGTTCCTACTCTTCTTAACACCCGTGCTTGAAAAAAGAAAAGAAAGCAGTTTGCTGTACTAAATTCTTGCTACACGCGGGTTCGCAAATGACCTAGTCACATGAGCCTATTGTATGCGGTCTTACCTCATATTTATGCGAAAGACTGCTTTCACAGCTTGAACTCACCTTCTTATTGTCACTCGATTTGTGCCAAAATTAAAAAAAAAAAAAAAAAAATCCATTTCTCCTATTTTATGTGTTATATATGGTTACTATTTGGCCAGTTAAATTATCTTTTCTCAACTACTATGCTTTCTAACATTTCCTCAATATTAATTACTATTCCTTTCGTCCCAACGTTGTTTGATTAGGCACGGAGAAAAATAAAGATTTTTAAAACTTGTGGTTTAAAATAAGTCATAGAAATTTGTGTAGCCATAAATCATCTCATTAAGGGTAAAGTGAAAAATTTAAAGTTAAATTGTTTCTAAATAAGTAAGTTTGACATTTTTTTGAGACAAACTTAAAGGAAAGTATGATGCATAAATTGAAACAGAGGGAGTACTAGTTATAGAAAATTGTGGTTGTAGTACTTTAAGCTGTTTCCAAATATGTCAAAAGAATTGAAAAATCAATGTCTAAATTCACAACAAAATTAGATGTTTTAGTCCTCGTATCTGTCGTTCGAATATAATTTTCTCCAAGATTTTTATTTTTATAATTGTTTTAATTGGTGGAAAATATGTAGCTGAATTTATTGGGATACCTCTTCAAAAGCCATTCCTGGAAGCACAACTTGAGTTAGTAAATGGAAGTAGAAAAGAGTATCCATCAAATGGCATGAACTTTGCTAGTGCTGGTAGTGGAGTTTTACGAGCAACAAATCAAGATTTGGTAAGAAATTATAGGACTTGTTCTTGATCTCGTGACATAATTATCATACTTCTTGCTATTACCAGTAATTTTTTGTTCTTTTTTTGTTTTTGCTATTGGGAGGGGGAGGGTGGTAAACATGATAATCTTGTCAATGTCGCCAAAATTTTACATATTGTCTCATAGGTAAATCAAACTTACATGTAAGACATCTTAAAAGTAAATGTATCTTGTTATAAGATGAATAAATATCTCTTTTACACCAAAATCTTACTAAATTCATCTCAACTAAATGTATTTTGACGTTATCTGTTATTCTGTACGTACTTGAAATTAAAGTGGTCAAATGCTTCACTAAAAACAAATGATGCTTGTAAATCTATCCAAGTCATTATTCAAACTTTCCACGGTAGAAAACAAATCCAGATCGGTGTAAAATGTCTTAGGCATACAAGAAAAGAGGGAAAATGTAGGGAAGAAAGAAAGTAAATGCAGTAATGCCCGTCAATACTTTTTTAGTTATTTACTTGAGAGCTTAAATTTATATTAGAAGATCAATATAGTTTAACCTATTACAACATGTTTTATTCCATTTTTATTATGTTATCAATTAATACTTATCATAGAGATTTATTTATAATTACACTATCAGTATAATAATTGTGTAAATAGTTTTTACATTGCTACTGCGTGTTTTCAAATGCTTTTCATCTCAACCTTGGCTCTGCTTCTTTTTGCCCCTGAATAATTTTCTTAACTTTTGAAACATAATATAGGGAGTGACCCCAATTCAAGATCAACTTCAACAATTCAAAACCTTAGTCCAGCAAAACCGTATCAACAAGGAACTAATCCAAGAATCGCTCTTCTTCTTCGAGTCAGGCTCTAACGACATTTTCAGCTACTTCTATCCATTTGGTGGTCCAACTCTAACCCCAGATGCATACGTTCAGTCCATGTTATCTGAAGTTACAGCTTTTATTGATCAAATTTCCAAGCTCGGTGCTCGTCGAATCGGCTTGTTTTCGTTAGGCCCCGTTGGTTGTGTCCCCGCTAGGACCCTCTTGCCTGGTGCACCAGTTAACAAATGTTATGGAAAGATGAACAGAATGGTCAAGAATTATAATATGGGATTAGAGAATTTGGGAAGGAGTATACCAATCAATTATCCTGGTTCTTTTGCTGTTTATGGAGCCGTGTACAAGACTGTTCAGATTTTCAGAGCTAATCCTAAACGTTATGGTAGTTTCTTACACTTCTTTACTCCTCTATATATTAGCATTATTATAATAGAATTAATGAATCTTTCGGTAGTACTAAAAGAAAATTTTACACTATCATGTTAAATAGGAAACATCTTATTTAATGAGTATGAGCATGTTATACATCTCATATTAGATCTTCAGAAAAAGAAAAGATCCCCTAAAGGTCATATTCGACCATGCGGCCACTCATGGCCTAGCTCAGCATTCAGCGACCGAAGTCATAGCATTCAATAAGAGTGTTAAAATTTTGACACCCTTTGCTAGTGGGTTATGCAAGGGTATTCAAAGTCTATTTTTTTTTTATCAATAATAAGTATGAATATGGTAATATTATACCATATACACAATATAACTTTTCAACGAAGGGTGTTCAGTTTGACCATCCTTGACACACATAACCCCCTCAGCATTCATTCATAAATCATGTAGTGAAATTGAGATTGCTCAACCTCGAAAGCTCATTCACAATTTGTTGTCACACAGGGTTTTCTGATGTGACAAATGCATGTTGTGGCGATGGAACACTTGGAGGATTGCTGCAATGTGGTAAAGAAGGTTACAAGTTATGTGTTAAGCCCAATGAATACTTATTTTGGGATTACTTTCATCCATCAGAGCATACTTATAAACTCATCTCCAAGGCATTGTGGAGTGGAAGTCATTCTCGAATTCGACCTGTCAATCTCAAAACACTGGCCAACATGACCCTTATTCAGCACTAAGGAATTAAACTTATGTTTTGGAACCTCAAAATAGAGAGAGTTACAGTCCTTGTCTTTCATTTTGTAGCTAATCTTATATGTTACTATCTTTGTTTTTTCCTCATGTTATTTTCATGTTTACATCAAATAATCAAAAGAGGTTCAACTCCATTTCATATAGTAGTACTACGATCTCTCCGTTTCAGAAAGATTGTCTTAGTTTGATTTGGCACAAACTTTAATAGAGAAGAGAAAACTTTTAAGATATGTGATTTTAAATAAGTCATAACATTTGTTTAGCTTTAAAACTTTTGAAACTTTTGGTCTGAAAATCTATCATAACATTTATATGGCTATAAATGCTTCTTATTAAGGAAATATTGAAATATGACAATCTTTTTGAAACCGACTAATAAGGAGAAAATACCAATCTTCTTGATACAGAAGGAATATAACTTATCATAATTTTATTGCGCAAGTTAGACTGGTCATCTTTTTGGGCTTAAACTAGAGTCTCTTGATGACTCGAACCCGTAATCTCAATCTTGTCAAATATGAAGGTGCCTTACTTCATAGTTCACGATATACATCGAAAATAAAACCATAATTCTTACAAAATTTATTAGACAAAAATGTTCAGATGGATTTCAGAACAGTTAAATCCTCGAAATTTGCAAAAGCTTCAAAATATTTCTTAGGTCCATAAAAAATTCAAATAAAATGTTTCAAGATCATGTATATTAACAAATTGTGTTAAAAATTGTATGGATGGTTTTTATGCAATTTATAGAATCTATTGCTCAATTTACACTATATTTTATAACTGTATGGAACACGTTGGATATTTCATAAATCTAGAGACTTCTGAATTATGAATTTGAAGAATTTTCCAAGTAAGTCAAAATATTAAATCAATGGACCACATAAGAGTTGTAACAAGTTTAGTGATAATGTCGACATTTGTAAATTCCATGGAAAGTTTACACTTTGTCCTAACTCCTAATAAGGTCAATTTCAAGGCAGAAAAACGTACACGTATTTAAAAGTAGTGAAAAGTCCTATCACTATATTGTATTGCTTAGTAAAAAGTACTCATTGCCTACTTTTAAACTCCACCATTGATGAGATCTATGTGAATTGATTGGCTTTTATTTCTGTAATTTGGCTAGAGGTTAAGTCTTAATCTTGTTCTCGTTAAATTAAGTAATTAACTATGAAGCAATCTGTTAGTGCTTCTTTTTAGAGTCATTTTCTAACGTCTTTTCTTGTTTTTATCTTGTTATCTTAAATGTAATAGACTCGTGAATTAAAAAACAGCACCAAGGAAAAGGGAAAAAGTTTTAGTAAGGTTAGAATACCCAAGTAAACAAGAGAGATCAGTAGTTTGCAATTCGTTTTGCAAATTTTTTCTCCCTCTCTAAACCATTTAAATATTTATTAACATGTTAAAGCGCATGATCATCTCATCTTAAAGATTAAGTTGTTAGAGAGCACATTTTATTTATCTAATTATCTCTTCAACCCGCCTCCTCACGTGTAGGCTTTATTCATTTTTTTATGGGCCAAGCATGTAAAATTTATTTTCTGTAATGCCATGACGGTGAAACTCGAACTCAAGATCTCAATCTGATTATAATATCATGTTGAAGTGTGTGACTATATATCTCATCTAAACACTTACAAATATTTATTTATGTAAGAAAGACGACAGAGAAAAAGAAGTTTCCACCCATTCTTAATTCAACATGAAAAATACTGTCTGACTTTCAAATTGTATCAAAATGGGATGAATAAAACAATTTTGAACAACTAAAAAGAGTAAACAACTGAATTATTGTTGACGGAGCCTGTACTCTTTCAATAAATCGAAACCCTTTGGTCAAGGTTTCTTTTATTATCATATATCAACGCGTGAACTAACATCCGAGAAATCATATTATCGTAGTTTATCCACTTAAATGTCGCAAAATGTCACGTGATTAATATTTTCTAGAATATTTTAATGGTAAGAATTTCGATTCTGATTTTCTGCTAAAGTGTAGCATTTCACATGATCTTAGATGTTGTTAGTTTTACTCTTTATGTAATTGAAAGTAAGTGTTACTTATTCTCACACGCTGAGTACTATAATAGAAAGTAATGATTTAAATGCTGATCATAATGTATCTTGAAAACTTAGGGTGTGTTTGGTACGAAGGAAAATATTTTTCGAAAAATATTTTTAATTTTTCATGTTTGGTTGGCTTAAATGTTTTGGAAAATATTTTTCTCATAAACTCATTTTCTTCTAATTGGAGGAAAATATTTTCACTACCAAGAAACGGGAAAACATTTTCCAAAACTCCTTTTAGTTTTAAAGATTTTTTTTTCATTTCAACAAATGAGTATTTTTTTTGTCATGATATAATTTTTTTTTTATTTTAACAAAAATAGTACTTTCTTTTCATGACGTAGAAAAAGTATTTTCTTTCATTTCAACAAAAAAAATATTTTCTTTTCATGATGTAGAAAAAGTATTTTTTTTTATTTTAATAAAATGAGTACTTTATTTTCATGTTGTAGAAATAGTACTTTCTTTTTCAACCAAAAAAGGTATTTTCTTTTTAGTTATGAATCACAATTTTTAACGTTATTTTTTGCGTAAAAAAGTAAAGCAACACATTAGTTCCTTTGGTTTTATGTGTATTTTTAGAGGAATAATTAAATTCTTGAAGAAAATAGAATCCTGAAAATGTTGAGTATTTTTTTTTTTTTTNACCAAATACTATAAAATATTTTCCGAAATTTTTTTTTCACTCACCAACCAAACAAGGGAAAATAAGTGATAAAACCACTTATTTTTCATGAAAGAAAAATATTTTCTTTCGTACCAAACACACCCTTAAAATTAAACTATTTTGGTGTATTTGTGCATGTATGATTTATAGGATCAGACAACTATGCAATTCACATGATTTAATATGTATGATTATCCACACATGACATTCAAACTCAAGTAGCAAAGAGTTTAAATGCACTTTAAATTAGACGTATTCAAATTAAAATCCTCTTTCTCTGACTTTTAATCAGAATTTGTCATATTACGTCTCTTTTGTATGTATCATTAATTAATAGGCTTAAACTTCTAGATATATTTTAAGTACTGTTTTCATCTTAAATTTGGATGTAAATTTTTTGACTGGTCATCTTTAATTGGAGCTTCGACGAAATATTACCTTTTGTCTAAAGTACATGTACCAATTGTAATACTCAACTTCTACATCCTTTTCTGTTGGCAGTTGAAGTCAAGTCTTTCATCACTTAAACAACTTTCCTTGTAATGTATGTATGATTACTCAATTATTTTACGAGCTCACACCTTATTTATATGATATTGGATATAGTGATAATATTACAAAAATAACCAAAGTAAGCCACACATTAAAATAAACAATAAAATGTCGATGAGGCGCACATATTATGAAAACTTTTAAATTTTATTTATTGATGATATAAAATAATTTAGACACTCAATATATTTTGATATATTGATTAGTTGAATATACATACAATATAAAAGAAATATTACACTATAACCCCACTCTAAAAGATAATTACTGTCTGTAATAAGTGCGATAAGGCTGTTACCTTACTATAACACGAATTAAAACATATTAATATTGTAAAAAAGTTGTACTCTGTTAATGTATATATAGTTAAATCCTATTTTAATATTGATATTATAGTTAAACCAAATCACATGATAAATAGACACGAAGAACACTTCAACCGAAGGGTTCTCTCCAACCCCACAAAGAAAAGGACAGAATGCATTAGAAAAAAGAAAGAATAAAAATAACAAGAAGCTTTCCACTACTTTAAAACTATAAATTTCATCCAGAATTTAGCCAACACAATCCCACGGGGTTCCTCTACTGCAGCCCCACACGCATTTATACCGAACGGATTTAAATTATTTATATTATACTTGTAAATTTTCTAAAAAATCAATAAATTTTATTTTGTGATAGCATATTATTTACTGCTAATTTTGTCATATTACCAATTAACATTAACCCGTAATAACCTAATAAGTTCTCTTATAAATATTACTCTCTTCGTCTGAAACAGAATAAACTTTTTACTATTTGGGAAGTTAAACAAGTTTTTTTTTAATTATGTTTACTTCAAATAGTTTTTAAATATATTGAATTGCTAACTATTCTAACTTATACTAGTACTTTTTTATCTTATTTCTAAATATTTAAATTTTATTTCAAGAAACTTAAAAAATCTACGTCCGAATTCAATTTTCAGGTTGACCCTCATACTGCCAAAATGTTCAAACAAATTGAAATGAGGGAGTAATATAATAAACTTTAAGAGTTTAATCCGTCAGTCCCCAGACCCCACTTGTGATAATATAATGGGTTTGTTGTTGTAATCCATAAGTCTAAACAATTTTTACACAATTAAGTCACATTCACCTGTTGCAGTAAGTAATCTTTTTTATTTTCTAAATTACAAATTTCATATTTTAATTAAGGAGACATACCAGTAAGTATCCTTTAAGTGACCTGAACTTAATTTCAAAATTTAAACTCATACCAAAATCCCTCGTAAATTATACCTTAATTAGCTTCTCCTCATTCCTCCCCTTTTCCCTTTTCAACGGCGTGTATATCGTCAAACCCTTTGACTCAACAGTCTCAAACGTGCGAATTCTATGTTATAAAAATCTTATACTGTATACTTTTCTTCTCTTGTCCGTGTGCCTTTTCTCTCACATATATAAACACCCATTCACACACACACATTCTCAAGAAACCCAATATCATAAATATTTTTACTTACCCAAAACAAGATTTTATTGATTCAAATTATTTTTTATCACAATTTCCTATGGGAAACTTTACTTCATGTACTGTTTTACCAACGATAAGGAATTCAAAAGCAGCCAGAGTTGTTCTACCAGGAGGAGAAATCAGACAATTTCGTGAACCAATAAAAGCAGCAGAACTCATGTTAGAGAATCCAAATAATTTCTTAGTGAATTCAAGTTCGTTAAATATTGGTCGTAGATTTTCAGCTTTGTCTGCCGATGAAGATTTGGAGTATGGGAATGTTTATATTATGTTTCCAATGAAGAGAGTGAATTCAGTTGTGACAGCTTCTGATATGACTGTGCTTTTATTGGCTGCTAATTCTGCTGCTAAGAGAATTTCTGGTGGAAATGTTAAGATTTCGCCGGAGGTTTCAGCACCGGTGCCGGAGTCAACACCGGAAAATAATGCCGCCGGTGGCCGGAGTTTGGATGGGGTTGAAGGGTTTCCGGTGGAACAAGAGTTGAAGTATAGGTTGTCTTGTAGATCAAGGAAACCTTCGTTGGCGACTATTTTGGAAGAACCAGTTTGTTCTAGATGAGAATTGTAAGGTGAACATTTTTGTTTAGTTAGAGATTTAGTGTGAAAAGAAAGAGATTTTATATTATATGCACTAAATATTGTGGCAAGTTAATAGATATTCCAAGACGTGTAATATGGACAACAATTTTAATGTCGGGATCTTTACATAAATAATCGTTCATATTTATTGTTTACTTTTTCTAATTATACACATAGATTATATATTGACTATATACAATTATACACATATAATATATAAATTATGCATGTATTATATATACCTCCACCGGCTATTTTTAGTTTAAGTAATTGGGTGAGCGGCTATTTGGATTAAATCTTCTTTAATAATTGTCTATATTCGACCATAATGTATGATATTCATATGTGCATGAATATTTACCAATGTGTCGTAGGTTTCAAAATCTTATGTTTATGTATGTGTTTATTGTGTAAGCTGGCATAATGCTTATGCTAAGTACAAACTTTTAGAAGAAAATGATACAACTAGAGGCCATAACGGCTACAAAATAAACTTGGAGGGCCATACTTTAAGCAATTAAAAGTACACCCGAGCCGGTTAATTTTTTTTTTTTTCTTCTAAATCCTACTTTAATTAATTGAAAGTTTGGCCCTTTACTTTATGAGCTCCAAAACTCGGTCTAAATTAGGCAACTGAGACTTTTTTTTTTTTATAGTTACGTAAGGATTCAGGGAAGAGAAAAAGAGAATTCGTAAAAACTGAATCTAGACCTACTTTGAGAAGTAATACCTATCTTTTAATTTAGATGTCAACACTTTCCTTAATAGTCCGCTCAAAAAAGAATGATATTTTTTTTAATTCAACTTTAAAATTTTTCATTTTACTCATTTTAGATGACACACTTTCCTTAATAGTCCGCTCAAAAAAGAATGATATCTTTTTTAATTCAACTTTAAACCTTTTATTTTATCCTTAATGAGAAGTTTTTATAACCAAACAAATATCACGGTCCCACAAAGCTTTTACCCCTTAAACTTCTTTTTTTTCTTAAACTCTATGTCGAGTCAGACTATCTCATCTAAATTGAAACGGGGGAGTATTATTTTCCCAGAACCAGTAGACTATTCAATATGGGTTCGCCAGGTCTGTACGTATTAGGAGAATACTTCCTGAGCTTAAGATTCCGAATACTTTTTGGTAGTCCCTTTTTGCAGTTTCACCATTTTTCTTCAAATAGACTGCAACGAAAAATCTGATTTGTTCATGAGATAGTTTGTTCAGTCAATGAATTATTATTTTATTATGGATATTATAGAACTAAGTACTATACTTTTCTTCCTATAACTGTGTAAATTGAAGAGGATAAAACCTATTAGAGATTTAATTTAAACATTGCACAAAAACTTGTACGTTAAATTATAATTGCGACCATTAAGCAACATTTAAGCCTTAGTTCCCTTATTGATAAACACTGATGAATCTTTTTGTTGATTAGAATATGACAAAACCAAAGTTTGTTAATTGCGTGATATATAAAAAATGTCATGTATTATTGTACACTATTTGCCTCACCTTTTTAAACTTTAGATGAAGATAGGATGTTACATTCTATTTTTGGACCTTTTGGCTTTGGCATAAAGTATAACAGACTAACCTAAGAAAACATAAAAGAAGAATTGGGGGAAAGCATGTAACGATGTTATAGTTTGTTAGAGAAGTGTGTTGTATCATCCAGCCCCCTTTCTCGCCTTTTCTAATTATCGCTTGTTCTGGTTTTTCTTCATGTAGAAAATGTATAAAAAGAAAAAAGAAAAAAAAGAAAGAAAGAAAGAAGAAGAAGAAACACATTCTTCCTGTCTACAAAAAGTACTACGAGTTCATTTTCTATGCTAGTGATGTTATTCATCGGTGTACCATGGAGTTCAATTCTTGCAAAAGATAAAAGTGATATTTCAAGAAAAAGATAAACTTTACACGAAAAGTAAATCAAAAGTGTAGGGAACCTTAGTAGTTCAGTTGGATGGCTAGCTACCTGAACTTTTATCGTGGGCAGAAGTGGATCCAAAATTCCAAGAATTACAAAGAAGTGAATCTAGAATTTATATTTAACGGGTTTAATTTTTAGGTTCTTACCATGAATCCATTACCATTTAGATATTATAGGTTAAAATTAAACTTTTTCTTACAATTTAGTAATTTTTAACATATATACTTATACTCCATATCAAAAATGCTGAGATCAATGAAACATGCTATATCATCTATTGTTATTAGTTTTAATTATATAAAAATTTGCGATGACAAAGGAAAATCAATTATTTCAATGAGTTAGATTTAGGGATTATGAATGAATAAATCAAATAAAAAATAAAAATACTTAATTAAAACACAAGGCGACACTAAACATGCCTATAAACTAAGAATTGAACCTCTAACTTCATTTGTAAAGGTGCACCCAATAATCATTGAACCATATGACTCTTTGAGCTTGGGTACACACATGTATATTTAAGCAATTTTTTAAAAATATAACATTATTATACATGATATAGAGAGAGGAGCATGGATTCACTCTGTACATTTTGTCAAAATAAAAATGAAATGTACCCTAATTACGCTAACATAATTAGGGGTGAGCATAGTTTGGGCAAACCCAAAATCCGAATTGTTTGGATATTTGGTTTGGATTTTCAGATTATGGATTGGATTTTAGATTTAATTTATTAATTTTTTGGATTTTGGATTGGATATTGTATTTGGTACTTCAGATTTTTGGATATCCGAAAAATCAAAATTTTTATATTTATATTTAGTCTATTATCCTTATGCCAATAGTAACAGGTCCAATATCCTAACCATTAGAGATAATCTCATATATTCAATACTAATTACTAAGTTACTATCAGAATACTTTCTATTGAGATATGATTTACTATTGCTACTTCTTGTCGGCCTTACTAATATCTTTGTTATATTTTCTTGATGATAATTTCATTACTTGAATACTTTATTTGGATGATTGCAGCGACAATGAGGAACTTTTTAGGCAATTTAACATGAATACTTAGCTTCATTTGGATGTTCATTATCATAGAAAGAAGAAACATCTCAACTTATAAGTTCAAAACTGAAAATCCCAAATATCCAAACCGATTAATCTGAATCCAAAGTCAAAAAATCTGATCCAATCCGAATTTATTTGGATTGTCATTTCTTCAATCCGAAAATCAAAAGTTCAAATCGAAGTTTTCATATCTAATCCGAATTGCCCAAACACCCACCATTAAACAAAACATCTAATATAAAAGCCCTAGAACATCTTATGACATCATATATAAGGAACCAAAATTATTAGGTTATTTTTTGCTGATGGTTATTAGGGTAGTATCAGATTCAGCCCAATTGGATACGAAGCCCAACTTGAGCGGAAGCTGCACTTAACCGGGAATCTTCCAAAAGTAACCATAGGGATAAAAAGTTAACATCCTCTTAGCCAAGTTGTTCGATTTCACCACCTAACCAGGATTGTATATCATCAAAAAATTACAGAAATATAACATTCTTGGGGCAGTCTTTAACTTTTGATTCCCTTGTCCTATGAACAGAATTTTAAAGTCAAATGTTAAAAATATTACTTGGAGTAAGCGAGAGGCACCACTTGTTAAACTTGAAGTTCAAATCATAGAGAAAGGGGGAAAAATTAAGACCATCCCCCTTAAGGCCTATTTGAGCACTTCAAGCAACACAGGAAAAGAGAAAAAATACATGAGAGAAAATTGGTGAAGTACACAAATAGCTCTCATATTAGTGGATTTTTGGATTTTTGTCCTCGCTGCCCCATGGACAGAACTTCAAGTTTAACAACTGTTACCTCTTGCTTGTCCTATGGGTAACTCTTATAAGATTTTGCCCACAGGGCAAGCAGGGGCCAAAATTTGAATCCATTTGCTCCCTGCGACAACAACATTGTTATTGTATCTCCACTGTCATGCTTCCTTACTGCCATCAAGAAAAGAGCCGCATCACATCTAATTTCATCACCATCTGAGACCACCATAAAGACCTATTTTCTCTAGAAATCTCAGAATACATCAAAATCGACGAATACAAAATATATTTATTGTATATAATTTTTTTTGTTATTTAATCATGACTGAGTAATTTTTAAAATTTATGACTAAGTTTATTACAAGATTTCATGTGAACATTCTATGGGATATGTATGGGAAAAAAAGACAGAAAAAACAGAACGTGCCAAAATCCCTAAACAAATACTTATTTGTCACGTCAAAACGATAAAAAGAAATCATTGTTATAAAATAAAGGCCATAAAGTAAATAAATCAAAGACAAGTATAGAGAAAAACTAATATATTATTCAACTTCAAACTAATATATATAATAAACTGAATTTATCCTTTATAATTATAAGTAAGTAAGTTGTTGTGTAAGTTGCCACTGCAAGCTGCTGTGTAAGTTGCTTGTAAGCTGCTACTGCAAGTTGCTGTTTAAGTTGCTTGTAAGCTGCTACGGTACTAGCTATAGATAATCTTCTACAAGGGAAATATTTATTTACAATGGAGTGTCGAAATGATAAGTTTCTTTAGAAGGCTTATTTCCATTGGAGTACTAAATAGATAAACATATTTACGGTAGAGTTCAGTATGGATAAGCTCTGATCCACTCCCAATCCACATTCAACATTGAGAGAAAGAGGTTGTTGGAAGAATAGTACCCAACTATGAGTCGGGGTCGATTTTCTCAGGGAGCTAACAATGGGCGTTAGAGTGTATACTTGATATGTAAAGACGAAACAACTTAAATACACTTCCAATCAAGTTAGTTTTGCAAATTATTTCTATAAACTACACTATCAATGATCAACTAGAGAATAAAACTAGAAATTGACTAATTGTTTTTGGCTGTTTTCAAATAGGTAAAAGCCTAGGGATGTAACCTTCGCCTAGGTGTTCGCCTAATAGGTTAATTACGTTAACACTTATTTTATTGATTGGGGTGTATTATAGATCTCAACTCTAA